AGACGTGGAAATGGTTTAAAGTGATTTGTACAACATTGCGGTTTCATCCTCACAGCCTCTTCTCTTTAAAAGCTCTGTAAGAGGAGGCTGCTCTGCGTTATAACTTTTTGTTTCTCTCTGAGGGAATCTCCTGAGAGCCCACAGCAGTTAGCAGAGATCAGATATCATCCATAATTTATGCCGGAGATAGAGAGTGCCTTGCGGTTTGTTTGTGCCTCTAAGTTTCTCTCGGTTACAAATGAACCCACTTACCGGCTGTATTGACATGGAGCGTCAAACTCGTCCCCTGGCACGGATATCTGTCTCCAACTAGTATGTGTGATAAATGTAAGAATGTCAACTTAAATTATTTTAAACTGGATACAGATTGAAAGCCTTCAGTCCTTCAGTTCTGCACTGACGAACACCTAGTCTGATTTCAGAGACTAATGTTCACAAGACAATCATTCATATATGTTTTAAACATCTTCAAAATTCCATTTTAATCATATCTGGCCAAAAAAAACATAAATTCCTTTATCTGCTTTATTTCCACGTTAACACTATGACATGCTGCACCACTAACACCATGAACTCTAAACCTTTTATTCAGTTCTTCATATTAGACCATATACAGGAAATGCGTGGGGTGAGGAATGTAAAACCTGAGCTTAGCTTTGTACTATTAGCTTTAGCTTCTGAAAGAGAGAATGTTTTGGTTGTTTTTATTTGAGGTGAAAGATTTCTGGGATTTTATTTGATAGAGATGACGTCAGTGCTACCGAATGACCAATCAGAATCAACAGCTGAGTTGCATCAAGTGCTATTTTTTAACCCAACTATACAAACCAAGCGCTACCTTCCTGCTCTCTGGGCCTCTTTCTGCCTGAGCGCCAGCATTTATTTAGAATTTTACTGTATTATATACACGGTGTAGTAGTTTTTAAACAGTTATATGAATGAGAATTGGCAGAGTGCTCGCATTAGGACTGAGATAATAATCACCTTCATGTAGTTCTGTAAAGAAATTTCCTCTAGAAATATACACAAAACACACCATGCAACATTTATGACTCTAACACTACCTCTGTTCAGTTGTTTACGTTACCGTGGAGACAGTCATTATGTGATCTGACACACCCACACCGGCAGTAAAAAAAAAAGATTTCTTTTTAGCTTTTAGGCTTGGTTTTAATTAAATTGTAATTAGAGATATACGCTCGCCAGACACTTTATTAGGAACGCCTACACCCTTGCTTGTTCATGCGATTATCTGGTCAACCAATCATGCGTCAGCGGCGCAGTGCGTACAGGACAAGAGCTTCATTTATGTAGCGTTCACATCAAACATCATGGAGAATGGAGAAAACAAATCATCTCGCTGATCTCAGTGACTTTTTGACCGTGTCATGGTTGTTAGCTTGAGGACTTCAGAAACTGATGATCTCCTGCTGGGATTTTCACACACAGCAGTCTGTAGAATTTACGCAGGATGGTGCGAAAAACAAAAAACCATCCAGTGAGCGTCAGTTCTGCAGGCGGAAACGAGAGAGGGTCAGAGGAGGATAGCCTGAGCTAACAGGAAGGCTACGGTAACTCAAATAACTACTCTTTACATCCGTGGTGAGCAGAAAAGCATCTCAGAATGCACAACACGTCAAACCTTGAGAATGTGTTTCACAGGAATCTGAGGCTGCAGTGGACACTGACTCGCCCAAACCGGACAGATGAAGACTGGAAAAACGTCGCCTTGTTGTTATTTTTGTAGTTTTTGTATCATGAAGTTGCTAACATTTGAAATGCTTTTTGTCGCTGGATTCAAATGTCATGAATGGAATTGAAGGATCAATAATATTTAAAATTTACACTCCAGCTTTACAAGTTGGTTTATTTTTGTAATAATACACCCCAGTTTCCATCCCAGTTTCACTTATTCATCTTAAAAAGCACTTGATTTAGTGAAAACAGAGAAGCCGATGAGAAAAGTCACTCACTGATGCTGTGTAAGAGGTCTGGAGTGATGGCGTCCTTCTTTACCCCACAGAACTGAGTCCTGGTGATGATGCTGTTGTGAGATTAATATTTTCTCTGAGCTGTTCATGCAGCTGGGCCTCGAAGATCAGCTGTAAACTGTTCGTCTGTTGCTTTTGTTATAACCCGTTTCTCTCACTTCCATGTGCCGTCTCACAGCTCATGTCTCACATCCCTTTCACTCTCGTGCTCGCAGCAGTGTGTGATGGATGTGTGTTCTCAGGAGTGTGTGATGGATGTGTGTTCGCAGCAGTGTGTGATGGATGTGTGTTCGCTGGAGTGTTGCGCATCACTTTATCGCAAAATTCCTCACTGCAATTAAAAAATGTGTTGTGCTGAACCTGGAACTGTTCCTGAGCATTAAAAAAAGCCACAAATCAGAATCATTACATTACAAATTCAGTGTGTGTGTGTGTGCGTGCGTGTGTGTGTGTGTGTGTGTGTGTGTGTGTGGTTTCAGTGAGCTCTACACAGAAATATTCAAATTAAAGTCTTCAGTAAACACGATGAAAAGAGACAGAGAAATTAAACATGAAGACAAATATTCTGCAAACAGTGTGTGTGTGTGTGTGTGTGTGTGTGTTCGCGTGTGCGTGTGCTTGCATATCTCAACCCTCTTTTATCTGCTGTAATCTGATGTAGCGATCAGGAGACAAAGTGTCTCGTTTTGGTGATGACGGTTTGTGTGTGTGTGTGTGTGTGTGTGTGTGTGTGTGTGTGTGTGTGTGTGTGTGTGTGCGTGTGTGTTTACGGCTGCTGCATTATCTGAGTTAGACAGATGTTTGTAGACATGATGTCTCGTCTGACAGCGTGCTCCGGTTCTGTGAAACAGTTCTCTATCGAATATAATCATTTCAACGGTTCTTCAGTTGTTCCTCTTTAAGATGGGTACCTTAAAGTTCTAAGGTACCTTAAAGTTCTATGGAGAACCCTTCAACAGGGGTTTTCCTATCAGAAAGCTTTTCACGTAGAACCCTTTTAGAAGCCTAGGACCCTTAAGAACCCCTTTTTTCTAAGAATGTACTAAATATGAAGAAGCTAATTGTTAACCATCTGACAGGTTAGAAAAAAGGGTTCTTCAAGGGTTCTCTGGATAATTAAGGGTTAATTAAGGGTTCTAAGTGTCCAATAAAAGGTTCTGAGAGAAGTACAGGGTCATAGAGTCTTTAAGGGATGTTTTTTATGCTGCTTTTTGATGTCAGAGATTTGCATCAAGAACAACAACATCAGTCTGGATGAACAGACAGGGCAGGACAGGACAGGACCTCGAGTGTGTCCTTTCCGTCGTCGGGCATTTACTACAGCGTGTACAAGTTCCTGCTTCGTTACCATGGCAACCCATGTGGATATGCCAGGAAATGGGACTGAAGTCAGAATGAACTAAACTAAAGAATCGGATTTAATTAATACGCTGATGTGGATTCTGCTTTAGACAGGAATCGGGTTCGGTTTTATTTTATTTTCATTCTTCTGTGTGTGT